CTGAGAAATTATTTCTGATTTCGTTTTTCTCAGATCCTCTTTTGTTGCCAGTTCAGAGGGTACAGGTGGTTGAGTATCAGAGCATTCCATTTCATTTCCCTTCTAAAGACAATCTTTGAACTTAGTCACTCTCATCCATCCTTCTTACAAACCTAGAATCAAGGTTGCAGAAACTGCCCCTAACTTTCCCTTTATGATTAGCTTTCCCTTTTTAATGGACCACATCTGTCTAAAAGCAAATATAATGTTCCCCAGGGTAAAAGAAGCAAACAATTCAAAAAACAAAACAGCAAGAATAACCTTTTCCTGCAACCCTGTACCTCTTTCCAGCTATCACGCAATTAATCTATTTTCTTTATAGCAGTGATGCTCAAGAGTTATCAATATTATTTCAACTGTCCTCTTCTCTCTTGAACTCATTAGTAGGCCTTCTGCCCTAATGTCTGTGAAAGTTGAGTATGAATGTCAAAAGCCTTGTATGTTAAAAGTTTGGTCCCTATCCTGTGGTGTAAGTGGAAAGTAGTAGAGGTGGGGTCTGGTAGAAGGAAGTTACATCACCGGATTGCCCTTGCAGGTTCCTGGCCCCTTCCTTCTCCTTCACTTTCCAGTACCCTTGAAGTGAGCAGCTTCCCTACCAGGTGCTCTCAAAATGATGTGGTATCTCAATGTAGGTCCAAAAACAGCAGGCCAACAGACCCAGAATAAACCCCTTCTCCTTAAAGTTGTTTATCCCAGATATTTTGTTATAGTGATGGAAAGCTCACTAATGCAGCCTTCAAACAAAACAGCCCTTGTTAAAATTATTAGTATATCTATTTAATTTTCACATGATTTCGTTTGGGTTCCAGTGATCTTTTCTATAGTAACCCTAAAATTGCTGCCATCAACCATTTCAATGTCCCTATTTCTCATTATTACCAATACTGCTAACCTAAGTTTAACAGGATTAACAGTAAGTTTCTTTCTTAAAGTTTTCTACTTGCCCTGTGACAGTGATGTGACAGCAATGAACCAATAAAACATGGTAAAAATTTCAGTTAAACAAAAATAACATACTGCTCTAAATCCATTCCTCTCTTCTGTGAAACATTTCATCTAGCCATTTTTCACCAGTACAAAGTCAAATCTATAACTGTGTTTTGAAAAGAAAGAAGAAAATAAAGATTAACCTACTGAATGTGAGAGCTCCTTTTCTCCACCCTATTATCAAACGTAAATGAGTACTTTTTTGTCCTACTTGGTCCACTTAAATATTTTGCTCTCTGGAGTTTACCCTACAGTTTCATCTTTCTTCTACTTTTAAGTATAAAATCAGGGCTCCAAGTGCAGGACAATTATAGTGCCAACCTTTGAATTTTTGTATATTAAAGATGAAATTAGTGAGTCCAAATTCCATCTGGGCACTCTCAGTAGGTTTCCAAAATTCCAGTAGTATCCACTATACAACTGCAATACCAAGAATTTATCCTACAGTTACAAATACGAAAGTTGCCAAGATATATACATAAGGATGTTCATTGTTGTAATCAGTGGTTTGCAAGGGAATAGATCTGATGCAGGGATATCTTATAATATTCATCCAAAAAGTCAAATGTCCAAGAGAGCAAGAGAGCTGTCCACATTAGAGACCCAAAACAATCCAGCCAAGCACCTGGATCCCATGGCAATGTCCTGCACAAGTCCAGCCAAAGGGCTAGATCTCACAGCAATGTCTCATGCAAGTCCATATCAAGAGTCTGCACCAGGAAGACCCAAAGGCCAGTGGCAGAAGCTAGAAAGTCTGGGCCAGTGGGGTGAAGGCTGAGGGATCTGTACTGGAGCCAGGAAGTGATGGTCAAGGTGAAGACTAGAGCTCCCCCAAAGAGAACAGCAGCTAGCCATCTCTAGCCATCCCCGGTGACAGTGAAGACTTAAGCTCCTCCTCCAATGAGAACAGGCAAGTTTGTATCAGGAAAACCAGCCATAACAAAGCTTCTCCTGGGAAATTGGCAGCATGTAACCTTCCCTTCCCTTTCTCTTTTTATACCATTCCAGCAACAATCTTCAGGTGGAACTTCTACACCCAGAATCATGCTGACTCAGTCCAGATGGGCATTTCTACTTAAACTGTCCATCAGTTAATCTACCACATTCACAGTAGCATCTTTTGCAACAAAATCCTCTTGCTTTATAACAGGAACTAGAGAAATATTTCATATCAAGTAATTGAAAACATTTTTATTCAATCATTACTGAAATTACCTTTTATGCTGGTATTATGATTGGTAGAAAAATCTGCCTCCTCTATATTATGAATTCTACCTAGAATCTCTAAAGTTTTAATATGTAAGATAATAAGATTTTCAAATGATTTTACTATAATTCATTTTCATGAAGACTGAATTACAATATAAACTTAGTCTCAATATAAAGAATCATTCCATGAATCAGTATCTGAAATGAATAGTTTGGGTCTTTTTCTTTAGGGATTTATTCTTGGCATATCTATTTCACACATTCTTTGATGATTTATTCATACTTGAAAAGGTTTTAAATGTGTGTAGGATGTATCATACCACACAAATACATACTTCGAACTTACCATTACTTAATTTGTAATGTTCAATTCATTTAAAAGAGCTTTTTTCAAGGAGTTCCAACATTAATTTTTCAGGATTCTGTTATAATTCTGGCATCAGTGTATGTATAAAAGAATTTATCTCTCTAGCTATTTTATAAACTGCCCTTTTAAAAGCACACTGCTTTAAATGGATCAATTGAGAATTTCATCAAACAAAGTTATAATTTTTGTTTGGATATAGTTCAGGGAAATACTATAGGATATCAATAGTGATCTTATTAAGAAGTTTGAATTCCAGTTCAAGTGACTAACTGAACACACATATGTATGGATGCCAATGAAAGAAAGAAAAAATATAAAAATAAATCTGTAATAGTGCTAGAATGCTTGGTAGGGCACTACCAACAGATCAAAACATGCAGGAGCAGATGGGACTTGGCATACTTGGGATACGGAGGAAGTTGATCCTGTAATGAATGGAAGAGAAAGCCCAACTCTCATCTCCAAGAGAGTCAATTTTCCAAGAAGGAACCTAACGGAAGAACAACAAAACAAAGCAACTGAGGCACTTGGAAGGACTGAGTCAAGAAAAGTAAAGTCAAATAATTTTAAGAAGGAATAGTTATAGCAGTCATCTGTCACAGAAGCTAATTCTAACATTAGTAACTAATTTTCCCTACATGAAGTATTGGCTATGTTTTTCTAAAATGGAAGTTATTTGGAAGAATTCTATAGAGTTCAGGCTGAGAAAAATTTTTAAATTTCAAAGACAAAGCCCTGAACACTTCAAAAACAACAAAAATTTCCTTTCTAAGGAGAAAAAAGTCAGTTTGGCAATGAAGTGTCATCTATAATATGGAGTAACAGAAGATAAAAAAGATTTTGGTCAAGCTATACAATAAAGTTTTGAGCTTAGGCAAATATATTGTCCATCAAGCATGAGAGAAATATACAAATACACAAAATTTATGAAACAAGGCAGGTGTGGTGCTGTATGCCTGAAATGCCAGCACTGTGTAAGGCTGAGGCCAGAGACTGCAAGTTGTAGCTCACCTTGGGCAACTTAAGCTGGTCTCAAAAGAAAAAAAAAAGAAAAAAAAGGGCTTTGGGGGAGGGGGGAGTATAGCTCAATTTGAAGGCCCTGGGCTCAAAACCCCCAGACTGCAAGGTGGGGATTGGAGGCAGTAACAATTTTAATGCTTTAATTCACTATGTCTCAAACTCTTACACTAAAATGACCCTTACAAGAGACAAAGGTAAACTTGAATTTGTTAGCCATCTTGTGTATAAGATTTGTAGAAAAGAGGCTCTATTTTAAAACTTGTGGTAAATAGTTTATTACCATAATGAAATAATGATTTTCATAAAAGCACTTCATCTTTATTCCTACCCAGTTTCCTGGATGCTGAGTATAAAAGACACATAAGTATAATGTATGGTATTTGGATTTCATTGTTTTATTAGAATTCTTTTTATAAGAATAACATATATACAATCTGTCAAAAAATGTACACATAATTCATGAAAAGAAAAATAGTATGGTATTTTTTCAACAGATGGTATTACCCTCATATGGGGAACCCTAGAGGATGTCATATATTGCAGAAAACCCACTATACTGCTCACCCTTAGAGAAGAAAATGAAAATGCATGTGCAGCAATCCCAATGACCTAAGCAGCAGTCTGCCATATTAATAAATGTCTGGAAGTTAATGGCCACCACTTAGAACACCTCTTGTAATTGTAGAGGCTAAAGGTAACTTGTATTTATTTCATGCTGTCTCAATAAATTTAGTATTAAAATATTTATCCAAATTTTTCTTTCCTTGAAGTGTATATACATTTTTTGGTGGACTCTTCATTTATAAGCATACATTCATGAAGCTAAAGTATGCATATGAATAGAACTCAGGCACATGGGTAGGGGCAAAGACAAGCATAGACCAACTCCTTCTAATTTCAACTTCCTTGACTGTAGAATTTGTTTCATAATTTCAACAATTTAGTTTGCTATGCAACTTTAAGTGTCAATGAAAACATCTTTGTTACTAGTATCTGAACCTGTCTCCTATTCATTCTCACATCAATAAAAAATAACCTAAAGAAAACTTAAATTAACTTTACATGTACACCCATGGAAGCTTAACAAATTGATCAGAGTAAATCCAATCTAGCAACAGAATGAAAGGCCAAAAAAAAGTTCAAGCTGAAATTCTATTCTGTCATTGTGGAGACAATTTTACTGATGGATAAAATTTGTAATCCTTCAAAAATCAGGACTATAATATATGTATTTTACGGTCACTAAACTCTTATGTTTTAAACTTTATACTAGATTATGGGATATTTAAGTGCTTCTATATACCTTTGCAACACCAGCTTCCTAAATTGAATATTTGTAGATACTTTACCTTTTTTGCTGTAGAAGAAGTGGGTTCTTTCTTAATACTTCTTAGTAAAAACTCTGGCATGTTATTTTCAATATCCTCATGAGTTCCCTTTTTATGGAAAACTGCAGCCAGAAATGAAATAACCTATGGGAAAAAAATCATTTTCAATCATTGTGTATAATGTATCATGATATATAAAATTTCACTTTTGTAGGACTACCCAATTAGTGGCAAAGTATGTAAAAATAAATATCAGGATTAAAAATATATCACAAAACATTAGTACTAATTTTAATTATTTGTATTAAGAAATAAGTGCATAATAGTACATTATCTGTGAACATATTAAAAAGAAAACCTTCCAATTGCCAGCTATTTAATCAATGCATTCTTTCTTAATTCCATCAGTTGGACTATTACCTTCTTATTTGTTTCTATCCATGGAAATTATCTCTACATATTCTCTATTAAAATAAACTGTATATATTCTTTCCTTAAAAGAAGGTAATATTTGGCTCATAAATGTGTGCATTTGTTTATATAACAAATATGGGTGGAATTGTAGAATATTATTTTAATATGATTTAATATAATTCATCAATATGCCCACCATTTTGAATAACAGTTGTTTCCCAAAAATTAAGTCAGAAAGATAGTGTAAAGAACACATAACCACATATAGTAAACAGCAAGAAATACTGAACCAATTAGATGCTGGTTAAAATTTTTAGCTCTGATAGCTTGGCAGCTATATGAACTTGGGAAAAGTACTTAGTCTCCCTGAGTAACATTTGTAAAAATGGCAAAAACAGTATTGGTAAGGATGTTTTACATGTATGGGATGTAACAATTTTATGTCAACAAATGAGAAATTTTTGCTGAAATGGAGAAACAGAACTTTTCCAGACTGATATCAAAGGAAAAAGAAAATTTACACACTCATATAACCACAAAAGAAAACTGAATATATAATTATAAGTTTTACACAAAGAAAATTAAGGGCTAGATGGTTTTACCAACAAATGACATCTAATGCTTCAGAAAAATATTACACCAATCTCAATCTCTTTCAGGGTTAAGAAAAAGGGTTAAATGTTCTAAGCTCTCTTGTGAGTTCAGTGTAACGTTGATAAAAAATTGATAAAAACATTATAATTTCTTACTCATATATAAGCAAAACAAAATATAAGCAAACAAAACAAATATATTTAAAAAGAAATATAAACCAAAACTAAGAAGGGTTCATTCTACAAAAACAAATTTGGTTTAATTTTCAAAATTAAGGTATATAAGTAGGTATTAACTAGGTACCTTAGGTTACACTTAGCATATGTAGTTCTTCGTTTCCTTATAGGACAACTTATTACAAGAAACATTCTTTACATGAAATGGTACATTAAGTACACTTTGAAAAACTGAGAACATACATGTATAATCTTAACACTAGGGCAGCTACTAAAAAGAAAAAAGTACAGCTAAAAAGTCAACAGAAGAATTAAAATGGAATTCTAAAATCTATCAACTGAAAAGAAGGCAGAGAGGAGAAACAGAACAGAAGACAAGAAAAATAGAAAACAAATTACCAAATGTTATGTCAAATTCAAACATAACAGAAATTGCATTAGATGTAAGTGGACTAAATATTCTATCAGAGCTTGTAAGAACAGATAAAAGAGCTATCTACAAGAGAGACACACTTTAAATATAAAGATACTGATAGCCTGAAATAAAGAGTTGGGGAAAACGACACCATTTAAAAGAAAGCAAAAGATACTGGAATGGGTACTTTATTTTTTTGTTTGTTTGGTTTTTTTTTTTTTGGTACCAGAGATCGAACTTGGGTCTTTGTGTTTGCACAGCAGGCAGCGAAACCACTGAGCTAAATCCTCGGGCTGGAATGGCTACTTTAATATCAAATAAAGAAGATTTCAGAGTGTGCTGAGAAATAGAGGGAAACCGGTCAATTCTTCAAGAAGATATAGCAACTATAAAGGTTCAGGACCCTAATAATAAGAGTCTCGAAATACATGAAGGAAAATTGCTAGAAGAAAAGGAGAAACAATCAAATTCACCATGGTAGTAGGAGATTTTAACTTCTCTCTCCACAGTTCATAGTAAAGACACAGAAAATCCAAATATTATCAATCATCTTGAGCTGCTAATCAATACTTATAGAATATTATAATATATTCAATAACTGCAGAATACATATTCTTTTCAGATGCACATAGCATATTCAGTTAGATGGACCATAAAGCAACCCTTTTTTTTTTCTTGGTACCAGAAATCAAACTCAGGACCTTGTATGCCAGGCAGGTGTGGCACCACTGACCTACATCCCCAGCCCTAACTTTCAATGAATTTTGCAAAATTCTAAAATCTTACAGAATATATTCTTTAACTACTAGAGAATTAGAAATCATAATGACAAGATACCCAGAAAAACAAGTAATGACAAATGAACCATATACTTGTTAATCCAAGGATCAGTGAAATATTAAAAAATACTTTGAATTATATGAAAATGAAAACACAGCAATTCAAAATTTGTGGGATACAGATAAAGCAGTGTTTGGAGAGAAATTATGAACACAGAAATATAGGTATGAAATTACTGACAGAGCTTCCATGTTAAGCTAGAAAATGAAAGGCAAAATGCATCCAATGTAAGTAAGAGAGAAATAATGGAGATAATTGCAGAAATCAATGAAATACCAAAAGACAAACAACAGAAAAAGTTAAAGTTAGAAGTTGATTGTTTGAAAAGCTAACAAAATCAATAAATTCCAAGTCATGCTAATCAAAAATAAAACAGAACATAAAATGTCTATATTAAGAATGCAGAGTATTATTCAGATCCTACAAACATTAAAAGAAAAATTAAGAAATGTGAATAGCTTTATGCTAACAATTTAAGCCTTGAACAAAACGGAAACACTGAAAAATATAGTTGATGGAAACTGACAACACAAGAAATAGAAAATCTGAATAGCCTCATATCTGTTAATTTAACTAATCAGTTTTCTTCCCTCAAAGAAAACTCCAGGAACAAATGGTTTCACTACTAAATCCTACCAAATATTTAAGGATAAGAGAACACAAACCTTAAATAAACTCTTTGAGGGAAAAAAAGGAGCAAATACTTCCCAATTCATTTTGTAATGACCGTATAGCCCTGCTAGCCAAACCAGACAAACATAAGAAAATGAGAGACCAATATATGCAGTAAGCATTCTTAAAATGCTTGCCAACTGAATCCAGACACATGTAAGAATGATACCTCATGATCAAAACTGTGTCTATACCAGGAGTAAAAATCTGCTTTAGCATTCAAAACTGAGTCAATACAAGTTATATTGACTCATCTAATGTAGTAATATATTGACAGACTAAAGGAGAAAACCCAGTAACTATTTCAATAGAGGTAGAAAAACTACTTGATAATATTTAATGCATATTCACTATTTAAAAAATCTCAGAAATTAGGACTAAAGGAAATATGCTGAATCTGGTAAAAGAAACTATGAAAAACCTACAGCTAATATTGTACTTAATGTTAAAATATTGAGTACTTTCCCCTAAGATCAGACCTCTACCTACCTAGTAAAATAAGAAATAAAATACATAGACTAATGAAAAGTAAAATTTGTATTTGTAGGTAGCATTTTTTTTTCCAGTACTAGGGTTTGAACCCAGGGCCTATGCACTGAGCTACACCCCTAGCTCTTTTTATTTTTTGAGACAGGGTCTCACTAAGTATTTAAGTTGCCCAGGCTGGGCTTGAACTTAGGATCCTCCTGCTTTACATTCCAGAATGCTGGGATTACAGGTGTGAGCCACCATTCCCAGCTGGCACAACTGTTTATACTGATAATCCTAAGGCATCTACAAAATGACTACTAGAACTATGTAAAGTAGTTCTAGTAAAGTAAGAAGCTATCTGGTCAATATACAAAAATATAAATTTTATTTTTATATGCCATGGGGAATTATATGAAAACAATCCACTGGCAACAGCATTGAAAGTATAATTATGAATGAAGTTTACAAAATAAGGCCCACACAAAAGTATAAAATATTTCTTAAGAGAAATTAAAAGACCTAAACCCATGGAGCAATATAACATATTCATGGATTATTAAAATGTCCATCATCCCCAAACTAATCTACAAATTCAATACAGTAGAAATCCCAATAAATGTATTCAAGGAACCTGTGACAAACTGATCACAGCTTTGGAAATGCAACATGAGCAAAAAAGACAAGGAATACAATTTCATAAAAGTGAATATAAGGATAGTCAAGCTAAACAATGGTACAGAATGAAAAGACCAGAAACAGATCCATTCACATTTGGACACTTTAAATAACAAAGGTAGCATAGAAAAATGGTAGAAACAATCTTTTCAATAAAAACTTCTAAGACAACAAGATATCTGGAAGAAAAGTGAGCCTTCATGGCTATGTCACAGGGTGCGCGCGCGCACACACACACACACAAATTAGTGGCAGGGAAGTGGTGAATCTAAAGGTGAAAGTCAAATGAGTAAAGTGATGAGAAGATATGAAGAAATATCTTCATGACTCAGGCTGTAGAAAGACTTCTGAGCCAGAACCCTAAAAATGCTGACCATGAAAATAAAAAGATTACCTCAAAATTAAGCATTGTTGAGCCAGGATTTAGCTCAGTGTTTCCGCCGCCTGCCTCACAAGCACGAGGACCTGAGTTTGATCCCCAGTACCAAAATAAATAAATAAAAATTAAGCATTGTCCTGAAAAAGTATATTGGGAAATGAAAAAGATGAAATCTTCTGGAATGGAAAAAAAATTATCTATTGTTCAATGTCTCTGGAGGGCAGGTCAACAGTCTCCATCAAACTTCAAGATACAAATACATTTGGCTCAGAAATTCGACCATCCTATTTCAGTATTTCCAATGTCAATGACAAATTCACTATTTGTTATTAAACAGACAAAACTCAAAAGCCTCTCCCTATGGGAATAGTTAAATATATTACAGAATACCTATTTTATTCTATGTAGTAATTTAAATGAATTAACTCGATCTTTACATGCAGACAAAGAAAGCTCTCCAGGACCTATGTTTAAGTGAAAAGACCAAAAGGCAGAATAACATTTAGGG